GAAGGGCTTCCTTCAGTTGGACCGCGGTGGTGAACGCTTTTGGGAGATGCTGGGTGGTAGAGCTATACTTGCGGAAGGTGGTTACTCGCACGTTCCCCCAAGGAAAGAAAGAAAGATGATATCCTACGGCCTCAGCATTATATACCAGCTAGAAGAATATAGGTGGCAGGTGTATTCTGAAAATGGTGCCACTGCAGCCTTGTGTATTTATTTGTCCCCAGGGCAAGTTTCGGTCCTTTCCAGCGTTTGATAAAACAGTCCGCTGATGAGCCCTGTACGAAATGATTTACGGTAATTGCAGCACTGTGTTCTTGAGCCTACAGGTAGCCTAAAACAGACTTCAGGAGCAATGCTCTCTGTACTTCCCATAGAAGTTGAATGCTTGTGGTATTTTAAAATAAAATCTTAATTTCTTGTGCAACATGTCAGCTTGGTGTGTGATATGCAAGTAGGTGGGCAGGGGGAAAAAAAAAAAGGTTTTCAGATTCTCACATCTTCTTCAGGGTGGCATCTCTTCTTCTTCTTCCATTTTGCCAATGGCATCGTAATCGCGTACTTTGTAAGTACAGCATTAGTTTAAGATGCTGTAATGAACTGTTAGTGAATTATGGGGTAACTTTTTGTCTGGTTTTGTTCACTCAAGAGGAATTTGAGGAAGACTTTGGAGCGCTGTCAGTATTTCAGTGCTTTAGGTTGTGGTGCTGCTGCAAAATGGCCGGGTTGGCAGCCCGGGTAGAGGGAGGATTTGGGCTTCGGTCTGCATCCAGATGTTTGATAGTGAAGCCCGCTAGATGCAGGGCAAGGGTTTTTGCTTGTCAGTTTGAGCCGTGTTAGACACAACAGGAGGTAAGAGCCTGAGGTTGGTTCTGTGCTAAGAACAAGCTGTGAATATTAGGTTTTATGCGTAAGGAGCCTCAACTCTTCTGTTTTAATTCCAGTTCCCCTGGATATGCAGCAGACTTTGCAGAAATAGATAAGAAGCCCCATTGAAAGATGCCAGTGCACAAATGCTTGGGTGTGAGGAGGTCTAAGCCAGGCCAGCCAAAGTGCTTCTTCCAGGAGTGCGAAGGTGTAAGCGGTTCCTTTCCTGCAGTTAACAAGAAGGGTATCAAGAGTTTAGGCTGGATATTTAGCTGCTTGATTTCAAAAGATCTGCCAGTGCTGCGTTGGAAGCTGAAGCGGGCTGTTGAGGCAGCTTGATAAGCGTGGCGTACGCAGGACGCCTGAAAATTGTCCTTTCTTCTGGAAACATCATCTTGCTAACCTAAGACAGAACAGCCTGCAGAATCCGCATCATGAAGAACCCTCCCTGTCAGCAGATGACTAGATAAAATTACAGCTTTGGAGGAAATTTTGTGTTCTTGCTTACAAGTGAGTTGTGACGTCTTTGTGAGGCCAAGCGGCGTGTGGGCTTCTGGCAGCGGGAAGCGCTGCTTGTGGCTCAGAGGTTGGCTTCCTAGCCAGGCTGCCAGACTCATCCCCGCTCAGTGAGTCAATGGCTTTAAACACGTCTCCTGATTTAGTGCTCGGTCGAGCTGCATCTGGCACTGCTGTAGCTGTACTTACCTATAAAAATAGAAGGGCATAATTTGCTAGCAATGTTGGATGTGGGAGTGAAGGGAGCGAAACGTCCTTGGAATTGCAAGAATTTTTTGAGAAGCCAGTTCTTTTTGGAAGGCTAGAAATTGATTGTGACAAATAGTGGGAGCGATGCAACGTGTTCCCTGTTTCATGACCTTTTTGTGTCCAAGGAAAACAGGATTTTCAGGGTGGCGTTTCTGAGGGTTTCTCTGTCCCCGTTCACTTCTGCATTAACGTGATGTTCCCAAACTGAAGGAGAGTTCAGAAACACTTAACAGGGAAAGGCAGGTGCTGCCTACTAGCTTGCAGCATTTAGAAATTTGGGGAGAAATGGCTCACAGGTATGTTCCCTAATAGAATTCACTGTAGGTGAAAAAAAAATGTCATGCTTGATCAAGACATCTCTTACCGTGTGTATTGTTGGCCACCAGACAGAACTCTCTACTTGTTTCACTGAATGCTCAAGGAGTTGAAGAAATAGACGTGGAACAAGAAGACTTTCTAAATCTGTCACAGGTAACAGATTGACCTAATAGGGAAAAAAAAAATTATTATTTATTTGTTTTGGTTTTTTTGAGATGCCTTCGTCTCAGTGTTGGGAATCATAATGTCGGACAGCAGGAATAAGACGCTGCTGTGGTCAGGGTTTAGGGAGGAAGCGGGATTACTTAGTAAGGTAACCATTTGAAGGGGTGGTAAGGCATAAATAAATAAATGAGGATGTTCCTTGGTTAAATAACAGGAGAGCTTCTGAACTAATACGGTAGTTGAAATAATGTTTGCAGCAACATTATGACTAGACTGCCCAAGAGCAAATGTGTCCTGTAAGGGTTTTGGCGTAGGGAAGCTGTATTAGGTTGTCGAGTCCCTGAACTTTTGTTTGCATCAAGGAGTGTATGACCGTGCGTGCCGTTAACTGGCTTCACGTATGGTGAACGGCATAAATGCATGGAATTCTGGTAACTTATTGCCAAAACTGCAGATATTTCCATAACACGCGACGACTAGAAGCCTGCATTTATCCTAATGACTCTTCCTTTTGGATGCCTGCCTGCCTTTTGTGTGAGACCATTTCCTGCTGTCTCCGGATGGCTGTGCTGAATTTGGGAGGCAGTCATCAGAAAGGTAGTGGAGGCAGATAGGGAACGGCTTATTTGGAGTAGTTGGTGAGACCAAATCATTGTGTAGCCTGTTGTTACGGCTTTTGCCATTTCTTCTTTTGGGAAGAAACCTCCTGTTTCTGGGAAGGGGGTAGCGGGGATTAAGTGATACCTAATGATTTTCCAGCGTGTTGTGCATTCTCTGCTTCCTTGACCATAGAAGATCTGTGCTGGGTGTTCAACATCTCTGCAATGACTTGGTTTGCTGTCTGGCACGCTCACGATCTGGGGTGGATACGGTGTGAATTCCCACCCAGAGATTTCTCCAAGTACCCTGTTTTATTTAGGGAGTTCCTTCACCATGCTTTCCTTGTGCCTTGTTCTCGAACCCTCACCCCCTCTGTTGGCTTACCCCTTTTTGCTAAATCCAAACAGTTTCTTGGTTTAGTTATTTCCTAACCTTTTCCCAGTTACTGCTTTCTACGTTTCTATACCATCTTCTCCTCCCGAACAAAGATTTTTCTGCTGAAGCTGTAAGCGGGGTGCTGCCCTTGGTGATCTGAATCCTCTTGGGAAGCGCTCCCTCTGTCTGGATGGAGCTTTCCTCATCGCCCTCGGGGAGCTCCGGCACCCAGTAGTAATCCCTCTAATGAGCTTGCAGATCTTGCCTCAGGTAACTGCACCAGACCAGTTACAGCAGTGAAGTTTTTCAGTCTTCATTATTGTATGAAAAAGACAGTATTGCGAAAGAGAAGCTGATGTACCTTAGGTTGGGAAACATGGTGAAAGGAGGACCGAAGTTTTAGGAATGGGGGATTGTATGTACGCAGCGGGGAGGGGAAGGAATCTCTTATTTTCCTTTCTCGTTTATGATGAATGAATGACCTGAGCTTTGGAGTGGTGGAGTCTGTGGAAACTTCGTTTGCTTTTCATGGAAGTATTAGGAGTTGGTTTCCCTCGTCGTCTGGTTAGGACGGAGTGAGAACAAAATCTATTGAGCAAGGTAGGAAGCGTTGTGCTTGGGTTGAGCCTGTGCTGTCTTTCGTCTGCGTAGGCTGACACGTGTGGAAAGGTAATGATACCAGTCTCGCTTGCTCTTCGGTTGCTGTGAATATCACCGTGCGTCAGCCCTGTCCGTGCAGCCATACACTGAAGCAGTTGCCAGATGTTTTAAGTCGTATTTTAACTCCCTGTGTTGGCATAGTGGCTATAAAGTGGATGTGTTCCTGAAGAGAAGAACTTGGGTCTCTTAAGTACTCAGTTGAAAGATTTGGTTTTTTATTTGACGGGGTTTTTTTTCAGTTGCTTTTTCTTCAGAGTGGGTTTGAACCTGGCCTGGCAACAAACGCGGGTGGCTGGAGGGGTGGGAGGTGAAGGGAACTCCTCGAGCCGCAGCAGCTTCTCACTCCCACTGGGAGGCCATTATTTTATTTAAGATTTGAATCTGGTATTCTTGCTTAGGGTGAAATGCAAATGACTGGGTGCATGCTGGAAGTCTCCTGTAACAGAGGGTATGGGAGCCATATGGTTCCTCTTCCTACTTCTGGCTCTTCAGTTGCATTTAGTGGCTGACTGCAATAGCAGTGTTCTGGTGTCTGTGTGAATGTACGTGGCCTGTTCAACTGTGTAACCCCCTCCCCGATCCCTGTTAGTCCAGCCAAGCGCTTCTTTACCAGGGATAGGAAACGGGATTAGTCCGGAGGCCTGCGGGAGGGGAAGGATGCTGCTGCTCCCTTGTAGCTAGGGAGAGTCAGAGCAGGAGCGGGACCATGTAAATCGCGAGCCAGCCTGACTTGTGGGAGCTGTTCAGTAGCCAAAGATGCACCTGCAAAGACGTTACTACCTGCACAAAAGAAATGGAGGAACGCCTTATTGATCTCCAGTTTCAGTAGATTTCCTTCTTCTGTTGCTCATGTTCAGGTCTAAAGTGAGACTTAGTGGGCTGTTAGGCAGTTCTGTCATATGCTTGGCAAATGACGTGTTCTCGGTCACCTGTCATCATGTGTTTTGGAAAGAAGAGTTTTCGTTGTGTGCTTTGGTGCGCACTGTGTCTCTGCTAGAGCTGTTGGCGTTCAGGATTGTAGAAACGAGCCGTCTTCATTAACTTTCTGCTGATGGCTGTAGCGTGGCGTGGTGGGGAAAGGAGGTGCAGAATTAAGTTTCTTAAGAGTGCTTCTCTGTGACGCCGCAGCTACGTTAGCATTGCCCCAGAGATAAGCTACAACCCTTGCGTGTTCAGACACGCAGTTTAAATATTTAGTGAGCTGGGAAGAACCCTTGTGCCCCGCTACCAAAAATTTCCCATCATTTAAAATTTAAATGTCTAAACTTTTTTCGAAGTCAGTCCATGTTTTTCGAAGAAAATTATAGGCAAGAAAATGGATTTATGTAGAAGTTGTCATCCTTATTTCTTGCCTGACTGGTGGGCTGAAAGGTCTGTATGCTGTGAAGCCAGGGGAAAATGACATACGAAGTTTGTGGAAAATGTGGAATTGTATCGGTCTTCACCTAAAGCGTTTGTGTATTTTTGAGCAACTCTATTTTAAAAACTAAGTTCCTAGACAATACCAGGTACTGGAAAAGTTATTTTACGTTGAAAGCTAAGGTAATATTCTGAATCGGCTAGGTCTGTAGAAAATACGCTTTGCTAATAGCAGCTTGTTTTTGAGGAATTAATAGTAACTATATAACACATCATGCCTGATTTGAAAAGACAGGGGTCTGAACAGGCTGTCCCTACCTTCTAGTCACAGGTGTGCAGGTGTGGTGACGTTTTGTGTCTCATGAAGGTGGGCGTTGGGAAAAGAACGTGGGTTTTTGTGCTAAATAAATAGTGTCTTTAATTAGCATGACAAGCTCCATGACTGTTCAGAGCAACGAAGGTTTCTATTTGGCTGGGCTGCTGTCCTCGATATGTGGCTGTCCAAATTCTGGGGAAGGAAATATTTTTGGTCTCATCTTGCCCATGATCCAGTTTGCTGAGAGAGGGGAGGGAGTCAGAGCGTTCCCAGTTGTCCGGCTGGCTTAACAGCAGGGTGTGCAGGTGAGAAGGCAAGGTAGTGGAGAATCATTTAATTGTTTCAAACAACAAGTCAAAGCATCTGTTACTTTCGCATCCCCGTTTTTGTTAAATATTGTTTCTTGATATGAAAATATGGGAGTATGGAAAGTATTTTATCTTAATTGTCTGCTTATGTGTGACTTGTCCGCTCCTTTGTTTTTTCCCTACCCTTTCCACAAGTTCTCTAAATATTTCCTCTCCCTTTCGCAGTGGTAGTCGCTCTTCCAAAACCTTCAAACCAAAGAAGAATATCCCAGAGGGGTCTCACCAGTACGAGCTGCTAAAACATGCCGAAGCCACGCTCGGAAGCGGTAATCTCCGGATGGCCGTTATGCTCCCAGAGGGTGAAGACTTAAATGAATGGGTTGGATTTAACTGAGAGTGAGTTGGCTAACCTTTTTTTATTATTTATTTTTTTCGTAAGGGGGGCGTTGAGCGTGGGCTGACACTCGTGGGAGGACAGCTGTGTGCTCCTCGCTAGCGGGTTAGGCTCTACTGCCCTGCGTGCGCCGCTGCTGCGCTTGGGAGAGGTGAATGTCCCATCGTTTAGAGCTGACAGGTGCAGAGCATCTCACCGAGACACAAACTCCTTAATCTCCTTATGCCAAAAAGATGTTCCTGTTAACAAAATAATTCATATTCTTAGTGGTTCAGGTCTGAGCACTTGATCACAAACACGTGCTGAAGTAGAAATGTCACTGCTGTTTTTGGAAAGTAGCCCGTCAGTGCCATCTCAGTATGTTTAGCCTAGCTCTTTTTCAGCTAGGGTTGTTACCCGATGGTACAGTCAAGCCTCTACATGCTAAGCATAAAAACTTAGTTAAGTGTGAGGGCCAGACCTAAAAGACGTTCAAGACTCCAGTCAGGTGTGTGGCCTGGCTTTCCTTTTGCCTGTAACCAGCCCAGAGATCGATCTTTGCAATTTTCCTGAAGTTAGTTCCTTCTTTTTGTTTCTACCAAGTTGTGAGCCTTTGCTCTGGTAAGTCTCTGATGTCATTATTTTAACTTCCTCTAAAGCTATTTGTCCTAACTCTCCTTTCATGCTAGGTCAGGCCAAACAATGATGCCCAAATTAGTGTGTTCTGATTGCTTGACCATGTTTCCTCCTCCTTCCTCTCCCTGCTGCATGAATTTGCTGCCTGCCTTCTGCTCTTAAAGAATGGATTAACCCACGTCCTATCATGCTCCGTAGCCCGTGCAGTTTTGGCTGCCACAAACTCTGTGCCCTGTCTGGGTGTTTCCTCGTCTTTTGTGTCTTTGGCTTGGCATGCTTCCGTGATCGTACGGTATCGGCTGTGCACTGCAGTCGAGTATAAATGATGCTCAAGATAAATGTCTTCTAATTGTTTACGTGGTTCTGTCTATTTCTTCTTGCTCTTTGACGTGTTTGGGAAGTGAAACTGTCTGACTTCAGCCTTGGGGTTCTTAATTAGCCCAGCAGTGCTCTGGTATATGACTTGTCGCTGCTTACGGGGAATGTTGAAATTGCTGACACCATTGTTTATAAAAGTTAATTCATGCTGTATTGCGAAACTGTCTAGAAAAAAAGCCAGCCCATTTTTATGAGTAAGCATTACTAAAGATGCTTCATATATTGCTGGCAACCTTCCCTTTTGGTGGTTCCTCCAGTCCACGTCTCCCCTTTCCTGCGTGGCAGCGGTGTTTGTCCCTTCCCAAATGACTTAACTGCTAAATTCGCTGGGTGGCAAAAGGCAGTGAAACACTCGGCAAGAGAGTGGGAGCTTCCGTTTGGTAACAGCTGCGTTCTGTCATGAAATGGTCGTCTTACATGCCTCCTGCAGCAAAGAGGGGTTTTCATGTTTAATTTTTTTTTTTCTAGACCTGATTACATGCTCCCTTCATTTACAGCATCCCCCTACCACACCTAGTACCAGTTAATGGTAGCTGTGAGCCCCTTCTGTTGATGGACACATCTAATAAGGAAATAAAATGTGTGACTTTGTCATTGGTTTTGCCCTTCACAGTAATGAGAGCGCAGAAGCAGATGTGCTCAGCTCTTAGCCTTCCTGATGTCTTACGGTGATGAGTTGATGGACGTGTAGATTTTTCAAATGGGTTTTCAAAATAAAAAAATGTGGGAAGCGTATAATCAGTTTCATCTGAAATCTACTAGATTTGAAAATACTAAAAAATCACTTCAGAAGTGCATCTTGCCCATATCTTTGTAATAAAACACCGGATAGCGTGCACTTCTTCAAGTAGAAAAGCACTTGGAAAAAATCATCTAAGCCCTCGAAACTTAACAAGAATGAGGAAAACGAGGAAATTACAATACGCAGAGACACTGTACAGCTTTACACATGTTGGAAAGGAGGTTCTTGCATTTTTCGTGTTCGTCACACAGCTGGCTTGGTGGATGGGCGGTGTGTCTCGCGGCCTTTTGAGACTTGCGAGTGTGGGATTCACAATAATCAGTCATCTTGTCAAAGTCTGCGTGGGTTTTTTGAACACGCTTGCCTTGAAGCAAACATTGGGCTGTGGTTTCTTCTGGGAGCAGGGAATGGAAACTTAATTAACAGTTGTTGTGGACACTTAAGAAACAAGGGCTGTATATAACGCCTTCTTGCTGCCTTTGGTGTTAATTGTGTCCTCCCCCCTGGCCCAAACAAGCTTTAGGAGGCCTCCTGGTCCTCTGTAACTTTTTTTTATCGGCCTTTCCCAATGTTGTTTTGCTGTTTTCTGCTTTTACTGTGCAGGGGTAAAAAGAACAGATTTTGTTGCTGGAGGTGAGCTGTGCTAGGTGCATGCCATACCAGTTAATATTTGCTTCCCTTTTTTGATGCCTGGGAAGTTGCGTGACACGGTTGTAGCTCGGATCCTGCATCTCCTGAACGGTTGCTGTAACTTGCTGCCATGATGTTGGTGTAATCTTTGAGGTTTATTCTCTGGAAAAGTCAGCGAGGGGAGCTGCAGTATTTAACGCTCCCTTTCCTTCGGCCGTCAGTTACTGTCACAGGACGTGGTATCTGCTAGTGCTTACGGTTAGGATGTCTTTACAGCAGAACTGTCTATCTCTGTTCTCTAGAGTTCAGCAAGGAACACGAATTGGGGTAGGCTACCAAGTAATACGCTGGCTTCTCTTTGGCACGGCACTGGATTGAGAGGAGCGTATCGCTGGCGTTAATTCCAGAGCGTCCTGCACATTGGTGGTATGAGACTATACAGTGTTGCAAGGGGTAACTCTTTTTTTAAACTCTTTTTTTAAGTTAAGACAAACATGCCTGCGTAACTACTGTAGGAACTGGTCACAGGAAAACCTTTCCCTGTTGGTTCAGAATGAAGAGCTTTGTCACCTGAACTGGCTATTTGGAGACATGATGAGACTGTCAGTACTGCTGATAAGGGGTTTTATTTGAGCATTCCTGAAATCTGTCTGAAAAAAGAAACGGTTTGTCTCTGGCACATTGAATTGCAGGCATAACACGGGTAGCACTGAAGTAAAAGTGTTAAATGATGCTGAGCCTAGACAGACTGAGCACTGGTGTCTCATCCTGAGGACTGGCTCTGCAGACACGATTCATCAGCGAAGTTTCTCGCTGTAAAGGCTCCTGTCGTCAGAGGTGGCAAGCAGTACAAGTGATGTAGCCTGGGGCATTAAGTATATTTATAGGTTATATGTGGTTCCTTTCAGGGTGAGGGGGTGTCGGTGGAGTAGTTAAATTTGCAAAGCACTGTGGTTAAATAGGAGGAGTTGAACTCCACACTTGATTTGGATTTTTATATGGTTTCTGCATTTCATCCACGCATAAAAGTGAATGAATAAGGACACCAAAGCTAGACCCACAAGTCTTAAGTTCCTGTATGCTTCTATTACTGGGGCTCATCCAGAAGCAGAATTTGCAGTAACTGTTGGAGGATAAGGGAGACGGGAACCTGTGGTAGAACTGTTACTCTGGAACCACGTCATGCGCTTAGTCAGTCGTAAGAATTTCATAGAATCATAGAATCGTTAAGGTTGGAAAAGACCCTTAAGATCATCGAGTCCAACCGTTAACGGTTTAACCCAGCCTACCTAAAATTTTATTGCCTAGTGCTTAATATTGGTCGCTTTCCAATTTTCATTCATGACATCCCTTGTCTGAAGGTCATTTTGAAATCATAACCTTGTATATTGATACTTTGGTAATGTGCTGTGCTCCCCCACAGATGCAAGGGGGGGGCATTCGTTGACGGGAGACAAAGTGGATTTTATAAACTGACTACAGTGACCACAGTTCCTCAGAACAGAACCTGCTGTTAGGTTATTGAAGAAGAGCCCTGCTTTCAAAAAGTTCTAAGTCATCAAGCACCTATTGAAAGTAGTAAGAACTATGGGAATATTCAGATATGTAACTTTTGGTCTTTTATTTCAGTAATTCAACTGTAGACCATTAAAATAAAAAGTTTTGGCTAAGAGAACTGCTTTCCCAAACACGTAACAAAACTTAAGCAGTAACCCCCCAGAACAGAACTCCAAGGATAGTTTATAACGAGGAAACATTGTGGACTAAACAATGATTTGTGGTAATTAATTGATTATCTAAGGAACAGAGGTTGCTTGGCACTGTAACTGTTCCTGTGTCATGACTTCTGTACCTGCCTCCCATAGATGCAGTGTTTGACCATAACGTAACTGAAAGAGAGTAGGTTTAGGTTGGATATAAGGAAGAAATTCTTCACCCTGAGGGTGGTGAGGCACTGGAACAGGGAGCCCAGAGCAGCTGCGGGTGCCCCATCCCTGGGAGTGTTCAAGGCCAGGCTGGATGGGGCTTTGAGCAACCTGGTCCGGTGGAAGGTGTCCCTGCCCATGGCAGGGGGGTTGGACCAGATGATCTTTAAAAGGTTCCTTCCGACCCAAACCATTCTGTGATTCTACAAAATCTTCTTTGAAAAGACTTGTGGAATACAAACCCTGAGGGAAGTCCGTGTCGCCTAATGAGGAGCAGCGCGCTCTGGCTGGAAAGTTTACGCTACAAATGTGTGTTTTATTCCAGACTTGCCAGTAGAATTTGGGATTCTAATAAAATGCCCCGAACTTTCAGAAAAGGAAACAACTCCGCT